TTTCCCCGTTTTCTGCAGGTAAATCTTCTTTAGTTTCTTGGTTAGCCACTTCAGCCTGTTTTCCCTTTGCTCCTCTTTTCCCTTTTGTTTGCACTTTTTTGTCTGAAGATTTATCCTTCGCTGCTGCCTTTTTTGGCTTCGCTTCCACTTTTGCAGGAGGTTTCGCTGACAACCGCGCGGATCTCCTCTTGGGCTCTTCCTTGGCCGCCCCTTCGGCGGAGCTGACCTTCCTTTTGGGCATCCTGGCGGCGGGGAGGCGCGTGCCGGGTGCCCGCGGGCCGCGGCGCGCCGAAAGCCTTTGCGAAGATGGGCTGCCTGGCCGCTACCACTCCTCCCGCCGCCCGAGCTGCCGAGACCCACCGGCAGTTTGCTTCTAAAGGGACTGTGTAATATTGGGGAACAGAAAGAGTTGTATTGGGTAAATTTAACAAACTTTTCTTTTTTTTCTATGTGGCTCTTTGCATTGGGCTTAATTCAGGCATTGCATACATTTAACTAATGTATAAATTATCCACTTATGTATTTTCATCTGTATGTTTTTACTACATTTATATGTTTATGAAGAATTAGAGCCTATGGTATATTGCAATGTCATGTTGTTTATGTAGTTTGAATAATTTTATAGGTTAGATTTGTAAACTGTATTTATCTGAGTCTAATAAGTGGAATAATTTGTTATTTTTATTTATTTTCAGTTATATGTTCTCATTTTTCTCAAAACCTTTGGGAAGAGGAGGGCATAGAAGATTCTTTCCAAAAAGTGGTTTTGAGAAGATATGAAAAATGTGGACATGATAATTTACAGTTAAAAATTGATTGTACCAATATGAATGAGTATAAGGTGCACAAAGAAGGTTATAATAAACTTAACCAGAGTTTGACAACTACACAAAGCAAAGTACTTCAGTGTGATAAATATGCAAAAGTCTTTCATAAATGTTCAAATTCAAACAGACATAAGATAAGGCATACTGAAAATAAACTTTTGAAATGTAAAGAATATGTCAGATCATTTTGCATGCTTTCACATCTATCTCAACATAAACGAATTTATACTAGAGAGAATTTCTTCAAATGTGAAGAATGTGGCAAAACCTTTAACTGGTTCTCAACCCTTACTTATCATAGAAGAATTCATACTGGAGAGAGGCCCTACAAATGTGAAGAATGTGGCAAAGCCTTTATATGCTCCTCAAGCCTTACTAAGCATAAGATAATTCATACTGGAGAGAAACCCTACAAATGTGAAGCATGTGGCAAAGCTTTTAAACAATCCTCAACTCTTATTACACATAAGAAAATTCATGCTGGAGAGAAAAACTACAAATGTGAAACATGTGGCAAAGCTTTTAAACAACCCTCAACTCTTATTATACATAAGAAAATTCATGGTGGAGAGAAACATTACAAATGTGAAGAATGTGGCAAAGCCTTTAGGTGGCCTTCAAGCCTTCATAACCATAAGAAAATTCATACTGGAGAGAAGCCCTACAAATGTGAAGAATGTGGCAAAGCCTTTAACAGGTTCTCAACGCTTACTACACACAAGGCAGTTCATACTGGAGAGAAACACCACAAATGTGAAGAATGTGGCAAAGCCTTTAGGTGGTCTTCAAGCCTTACTAAGCATAAGATAATTCATACTGGAGAGAAACCCTACAAATGTGAAGAACGTGTCAAAACCTTTAACAAGTTATCAACCCTTACTATACACAAGGCAATTCATACTGGAAAGAAACACTACAAATGTGAAGAATGTGGCAAAGTCTTTAGCTGGCCCTCAAGCCTTACTAAGCATAAGATAATTCATACTGGAGAGAAACCCTACAAATGTGAAGAATGTGGCAAAGCTTTTAGACAATCCTCAACTCTTACTACACATAAGAAAATTCATGCTGGAGAGAAACCCTACAGATGTGAAGAATGTGGCAAAGCCTTTAACAAGTTGTCAACCCTTACTATACACAAGGCAGTTCATACTGGAGTGAAACACTACAAATGTGAAGAATGTGGCAAACCCTTCAACCGGTTATCAAACCTTATAGAACATAGGAGAATTCATACCAGAGAGAAGTCCTGCAAATGTGAAGAATGTGGCAAAGCCTTTAGCTGGCCCTCAAGCCTTACTAAGCATAAGATAATTCATACTGGAGAGAAACCCTACAAATGTGAAGAATGTGGCAAAGCTTTTAGACAAACTTCAACTCTTAATACACATAAGAAAATTCATGCTGAAGAGAAAAACTACAAATGTGAAGAATGTGGCAAAGCCTTTAGGTGGTATTCAAGCCTTACTAAGCATAAGATAATTCATACTGGAGAGAAACCCTACAAATGTGAAGAATGTGGCAAAGCCTTTAACAAGTTCTCAACCCTTACTACACACAAGGCAATTCATACTGGAGAGAAACACCACAAATGTGAAGAATGTGGCAAAGCCTTTAGGTGGTATTCAAGCCTTACCAAGCATAAAAGAATTCATACTTGAGAGAAGCCCTACAAATGTGAAGAATGTGGCAAAGCCTTTAACAGGTTCTCAACCCTTACTATACACAAGGCAATTCATACAGGAGAGAAACACTACAAATGTGAAGAATGTGACAGCCTTCACCTGGGCCTCAAGGCTTACTGACCATATTTAATACTGGAGGAGACACCCTACCATTGTGAAGAATGTGGTAAAGACTTCAACTGGTCCTAACACCTTACTAATCATAAGATAATTCATAATGGAAGGAAAACCCCCATAAATGTAAAAAATGTGGTGAAGCTTTTAACTAGTTCTTAACACTTACTGAACATAGAGAGTTTATACAGGAGGGAAACCTTACAAATGTGAAGAATGTGACAAGCCTTTTAACTGTTCCTCAATCCTTACTAAACATAGATAATTAATACTGGAGGGAATCCATTCCAGTGTGTGGAATGTGGCAAAGCCTTTAACCAGTCTGTAAGGATTACTACATATAAGAAAACTCATAGTGGAGAGAAACCCTGTATGTGTGAAGAACGTGGAAAAGCCTCTAACAGATCCTCAATTCTTAACTGACATAAGCTAATTTATACTATAGAGAAACTCTATAAACCTAAAAATGTCACAGTGCTTTTGGCAACACCTCAGACTTCTGAATGTAAGAGAAATTGTATGGATAAGAAATGCGAATAATGTGACAAAGTCATTAAATGGCTGTCATACTTGATTGTAGTAAGATATACTGGTGAAAACTACTAATGTGAATAATGTGGCAAAACATTTAACCAGTGCTCACACCTTATTGCACAGGAAAGCATTTCTGTTTGAGAGCAAATGTACAAATATAAAGAAAGTGTAGGCTAGGTACAGTGCCTCACACCTGTAATCCCAGCACTTTGGGAGCCCAAGACAGATGGATCATTTGAGGTCAAGAGTTCAAAATCAGTCTGGCCATCATGCTGAAATTTCATCTATACAAAAAATTCAAAAAAATTAGCCAAGCATGGTGGCAGACACCTGTAATTCCAGTTACTCAGGAGGTTGAGGCAGGAGAATCACTTGAACCTGGGAGGAAAAGATTGCAGTGAGCCAAGATCATGCCACTGTATTCCAGCATGGGCAACAGGGAGATTATTAAAAAAAAAAAAAAAAAAGGAAATTGTGAAAGCCATTAATACCTTCTCACATCTTATTCAACATCAGAGAATTAATACTCAATAAAAGCATTAAAAGTGCAGTTACTATCAATAGATCTTTCAGAAAATACAAGCCCTAAAAGTGCCAAAGAATATTTATTTTGAAGACAAATATATAAAGAGGGTTATAGTACCTTTACTTGTATCACAGATTTTACTGTACACATTTTGTACTAGAGGAAAACCCTGAGGCAGTTGTTCCAACTTTGCTCAATATCAGGGAATTTATATTGAAGAATAACCTTGCAAATGTAATAAATTTGGAAAAACATTTTTTCAAAAAGTACATATTATAAAACACCAGAGTTTATACTAAAATATATTTTTGCAGATACTGTATTTTTAAAAATTAATCCAAAACAAGTTTATGTAAATATCAGAATTTCACAGTAGAAATATCTGTTTTTCAAAATTCAGACATTACACTAAATCTGACTGCCGAGTATGGGAAAAAAACCAAAACTAAATTTGGTAAAAAAATTATTTGTATATAACTTTAAAAGAAGTAGATCTTTGAAGAGTTATAATTACATTTAAAGCATACTTTTATCTTGAAAATATAGATTTTTTTGGCCAGACACAGTGGCTCACATCTCTAAGGCTAACACTTGGAGATGCCAAAGTGGGCAGATCACCTGAGGTCAGGAGTTCAAGACCAGCTTGGCCAACATGGTGAAACCCCATCTCTACTAAAAATGAATACAAAAATTAGCCAGGCATTGTGATGCACACTTGTAATTCCAGCTACTTGGGAGGCTGAGGCATGAGAATCACTTAAACCTGGGAGGCAGTGGTTGCAGTCAGCCGAGGTTTTGCCACTGCACTACAGTTTGGGTGACAGAGCAAGACTCTGTCTTAAAAAACAAACAAACAAAACCCAGATTATTTGGAAACTGAATAATGATGAAATTCAACTCTTAAATTACTTTGTGTTATTTTTTCATTTCTATTGTATTCAAAAGCATGCTATCAATTCTGCATCAAAGATTTAGGAGGCTTTTTTATTAGGTGGTCATTATGATCTTTCTTATGGACAAATAAGGACATTAAAATGTAAGATGCATGGTGAAAATCTAAGTAGTAAGGCTCTTTGTGGTTAGGTTAACTTATAGAATTGAGTGATGCATGAGGTAGGCATTCTGAATAATATTCTGTTTTTTTCTTTTTTTTTTTTGAGAGGAAATCTCACTCTGTTTCCCAGGCTGGAGTGCAGTGGCACAGCAGCTCACTGCAAGCGCTTCCTCCCAGATTCAACGATTCTCCTATCTCAGCCTCCCAAGGGATTGAGATTACAGGTGCCCACTATTACTTCTGACTAATTTTTGTATTTTAGTAAAATGAGGTTTTACCATGTTGGGAAGCTGTTCGTGAACTCCTGACCTCAAGTGGCCTGCTCACCTTAGCCTCCCAAAGTGCTGGGATTACAGGTGTGAGCCACTGTGCCCAGCCCCAAGTAATATTCTAATCCATTATTATGAGAGAAAAATCATTCTTAATTATAGTTAAAATTAAATCAAAATTAATTAAATTAGTATATCATTTTACTAATTGTAATTTCATGTGATAAAACTACATTTTGAAAGCATTTTAGATTGTGTTAATTTTTTAATTCAACATTTATAACATTAGATACTGTTATACATTCAATAAAGTGTTATTGTGCCACTATTTTTAAACTATTATACCTTACTCAAGGGTGTATTCAAAAGATGGTAACAGTACACTATTTGGCAACATATTAGACTAATATCTCTAGTGTACTTCTTTTCCGGTAGATTTAAACTGCAAATAAAGAATATGGTTTCTGTAAGTTATAATACTTTTTATATTTTAATTTATCTTTCTTAGTTTTTGTCTGTATATGTGTATACATTTATGCCATATATGGCATATTTCGATACAGTTATACAATATATAATAATCACATTATGGTAAATAAGATAGCTATAACCTCTGTCTTTTATGTTTTGTATTAAAAACAATTCAGTTCTACAGTCTGTACAACTTATTCCAAGTTGTACGTTAAATTGTTATTGACTACAGGGTCATTTTTATAGTCATCATAAAATTTATATATGGGTGAAAACAAATATATTTCTGAGTCCTAAATATTTTCAAAATTTTATTATGTATTTTTTGAAGCATGTGGCCTCTGCCTTCAAGAACATTTGGAGTTTTAGTTTTGACTTAAATAGATTAAATATACACATCTATTAGTCTAATCATATAGCTTAGATTTAAGGAGTAAGTGTGTTTATGTTAGTATAAGTTTGCAGCTATTTTCAGAAGAAAAGAGTAATATTAAGAAAAAACAAATTATTTTAATAAGTTGTCTAATTTACTAGAAAACAAAAATCCTCAAAAATGGCAAAAGCAAATATATATTCTTTGCTTTGTATTCAATTTATGACACTATCTTATAGCTTATCTTTTAGAATCTTTGCATGCAAAGTTTCTGTTTTTACTTGCCTGGTACTCATGCTAGACCATAATCTTTTTGTTTCTTATTTGTTTGTTTTGTAGTTTATGAAGTATTTATTATCATAGCTAATTTGTAGTTAGAATAATTTTTATAAAATTTCATCATGCACACAAAATTATTTTTAGATATAATTCAATAATTTGTTTGTTGTTATATTTTATTTAGTTAAAAGATTCCATTAGGTTCTTGTAATGGGAGAACCCTATATGAGCTTATTTTTCTTTAGTTATTGTTCCCTTGATTTTTTATAATTGATATAAGTAAATTTAATTTATTGAATCAGTTTGTTTCAGTAAGTACTAGGGAAGCTTTATAAGTCATCAGGATGGTTTTATATATAAATGTAGCAAACAGACATGACAGTGCTCAGGGTGTAACAGGATGCTCCATAGTTAGTCATAAATATCCCTGCTAAAGTTAGTTTTTAACTTCAAGTCAGAGATGGAAAATATCAATTGTGAAGAAATAACATTGATTCTTCATGTGAAGAGGACATTGTTTCCAGGCTGCAAAGCTGAATCTTGCTGAATTTAAAGAGAACTACTTCATTCATGTCTTAATTATCTTAAGTTTTGTCTTTTTATGTGCATTCAAACCATATATGCATCACAGCCCTTCTTTTTCTGTTATGGCTACAGTTTTCTCACTCTTGTTCTCATGTGTCATTTTACATGGTATGTTGTAGGTTTTGAGGAGAACATTGGTATTTTTTAATGCACTGAAAAATTGGTTTTAACTGGAAAGTTTGCTCACCAATACAACTTTAAGATTGGTTAATTAACATAAAAGACACACGCTGTGTACAGAAGAGAGGATTAAATCAGCCTGGTGTTTCTTTGTAAGAGAAAAATATTAGATTCTTATACAAAGTGTGGCAAACATAAATTTGCTAGAACATACATATATTATAAAAATTAAATGTTTAAGAGAATTAATAGTAAGTGAGCAATTTTAAATGTAGTTATTTATTATATACTTATAGCACAACATGGATTTTCATGCAGAATCCTCTATTTTAAAGTGTGAATGTTAAAGTTTGCGGAACATTAAAATGACCTCTGTGAATTTGGAATATTTATTTTTCATATTAATATTACAATTTGGAGAATTTTGTTACTCTTATTGTTTATAAATTTTTTAACGGTTTAAGTTTAATCTACAGTTTATATTCTTTTTTT